CAAGAATCGAGCTCATCCTCTCAGCGTAATTGATGTGGCAATCACCATGTAATGTGAAAAGGTCTCATCCCGATTCTGAATCAACTTATGTAAGCAAATGTTTTGATACCTAAGGCTGCAATACTCGCGTCGGGGTTGGGTAATCGGTCCCCGCTGTCCTACCAAATGTAAATAATAGAAAATAAACAAAGTTCAAACTTAACATCATTGCAACACATTTGCCTATTGCGACAATTTTATTATTTCTTGATATGCCTAGAGTCGCACAAAACCCAAGTGCGAAGAGAGGTAGAGTTGCTTCTGGCTCTCTACCAACTCCTGCAAAATCTCCCGTGAAGTATGATTGCCCTGGTTGCTATGGTGTTTAATGCCCATATCTTTGGCAGATATGATGCTTTTCGTTTGCGTGCGCTCTGCAGAACGAGATTTTTTCAATACTGATTGATGGCAGGGTACCTTTGAATGATGCATCGCCAGTGAAACTGGCTCTCAATGACGATGCGCGAGAAAAAGCAAAACGATTAAAATCGAGAAATGCCCACCATGAAACTCAGATGAACGAAATTAAAAAGGCCGCGACTCCACGGAAATTAGTGAACTTCGAACGAGCAGGAAGCTCCTCACCGTCAGTGAACCACAGAACTCCGGGGCGAGTTGGAAAAGAGAATGATTTGGATGGCGGGGTTATGATGGTTGGAGGAAACGCAGTCACTCCCATGAAGCGTGTTCCAATTCTCGCAAACTTCGAGGAATGGATGAAGATGGCCACAGACAACAAAATCAATGCTGCGAATTCTTGGAACTTTGCGCTTATTGATTATTTTCATGACATGTCACTTTTGAAAGAGGGTGATGGAGTCAATTTTCAAAAGGCCAGTTACACTCTTGATGGGTGTGTAAAGATTTATACGAGTCGAGTCGACAGTGTAGCTACAGAGACCGGCAAGCTTTTGAGTGGATTGGCAGATAGCGGGAACAACAAGAAGAAAAGGGGCGACAATGAGGAAGGCGAAGGAGATGAGAGTGAGGAAGAGGTAGAAGATGAAGATGGAGTTGTTAGGAAGAAGGCAAAGAAAAGGGTATGTGCCACCTACATTCATTATTACTTTGTTCTTCTCCAATCGACGTACAAGTTTTTCAAAACAAGCCAAATCTCATAGTTGAGATATGGAAGATCACATTTGATGTGAAGCAGAATTGCGGTCGCACATCATTTATCTGCCCCAGAGTGGTAGGGTGTGATGGACGTCTTTGGATTTTTGTCTAGCGACATACAGATGGGGACTTTCATCTGAATATAACATCGGATGAGAATGGTTCTGGTACATACGACCACAGACTGAAGAAAATTGGGCATCCCGTCCGCTCTGCCATACACAAGCTTCAGATCGGTGGATTAGTAGTTGGGTGGGTGACCACCAGCGAATCCCCACTGTTGTATGTTCCAAAATCTTTTTGTTTCTTATTTCGCTTCATTTTATTTTCTACTGGTGGAATTGATCCTGTAGAGCGGCGAGCACAATGATGGACACAACCAACGCATATCGATCCATGATCCATTCTTCAAAAGGGTTTTAGTCTCAAAGATCCATTAGGGCTGGGCGCCATTCCATGTTTTGCATCCTCGATTCTCAATTCTTTCATCTTCATCTCTTTCGTTTCATCCTTTTTGGTTTGGGGGACTGCATAGGGAATTTCTTCTTTGAGTAGCAAGCTTTTTGGTTCTAGTGCTTTTCCCCAAAAAGTACTTGAAATAATTTGCATCCCGAGGTTCACCCGACCTTTAAGTCTGATTTTGATACCTGTTTGTCTTGGTCAAATCGTGCACTTGGTATAATTGATCAGAAAACCCATAGCTAATCATAAGTTCAGACTCAACGCTCATCAGAAGCAACTCTTGCAACTTCGTTCTCAGCATTACAATTGAAGAAGTTCGAACTTGAATTCTCCGTTGATCCTTTATTTAAAAAAGCATCTGCAGACTTCGATGAGGGGGGTGCTAAAGGTCTACTTTTAAATCATCTCTCTATTGACTCTAAAGGGCGTATTGTTTTTGATAGTAGCGATGACGCAGGTGACGCTTCGGCAGAAGGACGGGGTAGAAGACGAAAGGATGATGCCATTGAAGAGGATGAGGAAGATGTTTTAGAATCGGCAAACGTCACTCTAAAAGATGATGAGGATGACGAAGATGATGGAGAAGACGTGGAGATAGATGTGGAAGCTTTGGGAGTCAAATTTTTCCCGAACTTGGATTTCCTTGAAGAACAAGACATTTGTCCATCATTGAAGAATTTTGACCTTGGAGATCCATCTGGTTCTATGGATATTCCATTTTTAAAAGCACCAGAAGATTGGCGACAAGAGAAAGACAAGTCGGATGACAATGGTGTTGGTGATAGGTCAGGGATTTTCCTAGACGATGATAACCCTATTGGATTCGATGATGACGACGATGGACTTCTTGGAAATTTTGATATTCCAGATGATGCTGGATTTGGTGAAGGTGGTGAAGCTTGGGCTCGTGATGCCGCAATCGAGCCACGCATGCGAGTCCACGATGTGGGATACGATAATGATGGTGGCGATGGAGAGGATGGAGAAGGAGGCGCTGGTTCATTTGACCCCGAAACCGGCGAGTACATCATATCTCTTGATCGTGGATCAAAGAAGGAAGGCGGCCATGATGACATTTTGAGTTATTTCGACGAGGCGTTGCAAAAGAATTGGGCCGGTCCCGAACACTGGAGAATACGAAAGATCAAAGACGTCAACAAGCCAGCAGTTACAAAGCCGCGCAAAGAGAAAGAGCCATTCGAAATCGACTTCATTTCTCCTTTAAATGCCACTTTGGCTGAAACCATTTATACTCATGCACCAACCAATGCTACGATATCTTTACCAAAGAAAGATTGGAAGTCCAAGACAAGAAATCTTCTTCCCGATGACAAGCATTTCAACTCCAAACAACTGTTACGTCTGTTCCTTAAACCTAAAGCTAGAATGGGTAGTCGAAAATCTGGTTTCGGTGCCAAACCCGGTACTTTTGGTCAAAAGAAGGAGGATGATATCCCTGAAGGCGAGATTGGTGAAGATTATTGGGCACGAAAAGAAGAACCTGCTCACACATTAGAGGATGAAGCTCCGCCTCATGGAGATTATGACGCCAACTTCTTCCAAGACGACGGTTTGGCCATGCCAGGTATAGATGATGATGATGATATGGAATTCGCCGACGCACGTGAACAATTTTCGCCTGGAGCTGAAGGACAAGGCGCAGGCATTGGTGGTATCGCTGCCATATTAAATGCCGGAGCTCAAGGTGTAGACGGAGAAGAGGGCGCGTTTGGTACACAGCTGGTCACACAAAGTAGAAGATTGAGACCTGAATATGTGCAATATGCTAGGGTTGCCAAGAAGGTTGACGTTAGGAGGTTGAAAGAGGAGTTATGGAAGGGCATTGGATTTAGTGAGCCTGAACAACCAGTAAGTTTATCTGTTCCTCATAGTACACTCATGTTATCACTAACAAATTGAAACAGGACATGTCACTTTCTACGTCACGACTCCCAACCCCACCTGTCAAAATTCCTACGGACGAAAATGAAACCCTTCAGTTTACAACCGTCATGCAAAACCTTCAGACTGTATATCCAAAGCAAGTCATGAATGATATCTCGACTAGTTATTGTTTCATATGTCTTCTGCATTTGGCCAACGAGAAGGGTCTTGTCATTGATAAGAAAGAAGGTTTAATGGAATTGGATATTAGGAAAGACCCAACTGCTGAAATCACAGTTGAGTAATCACAGCAACTTGGGGAATGATGAACTTTGGACATAAGGATATGCAATGGGCGTTTGAAAGGGATTTATTGATCATCATCTGGTCTGTTTTGATTTCTGTTTCTGTGCAAATTTATGCACGTGGGCGTGCGTTTACATTGTGCGTCTCAGGATTCGAGGTACAATGGTACGGCTGTACTGTATGGAAGTGGAGAATCTTTGAGTGTGTATGGTGCGGTATGAATTGAAACGAATCAGTTGGGACAGATGGTATAAATTAAGATTATGATGATAATGATGATGATTTTAAGAAAACAAGAAATATTTTCGTGTGTCATGAGAACACAAATTATTATCGGGGGTCTTGCATAAGTGTGCTTTTTGACGAAAACATTGGAAGATAAAACATGATGTTCTGTGCTATATTTGCTATATGCAGACTGCAAAATATATTGTTCGTTGGTTTGATATCTCGATCCTTCAGTTCCAAGGCATTTGACTTTTTGGGGTGGGCATTTGCTTTGATGTGATGCTTCAGCCTTGGCTTTGGATTTCGAGTGCCAATTTTTGAATAATCTGGGATTTGAACATGATTCATTCCAAGTATCTAAAGTTAGCTTAAAATTAAGAATCGAGATTGGGTAAGTGGGTGGGATGAAGGTGTTAGGCGGAGAGAAGGAAAATGCTGACTGACTCTTGGAGAATATATTGAAGTGGAAGAAAAGTTTACATGTGAATAAGATTGGGATGGGGATATGGATGTGGTTTATATTGGTATTGATTGCAGACTGTTAGATTGGCTAGAAGCCAGTCTGTTGCAGAATAGTCAGTCATTTGTTTCGCTTTTGTGTGAATATATGCTAGTGATAAATGAGGTGTTTGATTTGAGATGGGACGGGAACTGTCTAATCTCCGGCTCGAGCTTCTAAGATCCTTTCGACGGCATCTAATGTTCTGCTTCTAGTGGTATGGACTTCAATATCATTCATTGGGAAGATACAATATGTGTTATGTGTTAACGCAAGACACCACGGTGATTAATGGTTTTCACTGGGGCACGATTATGGGTTTGTAAGGAAAATTGGTTTTTTTTATTTTAAATTTCAAAGTTACGATGGGTTTAGCAGAGCAGTGGAAATGAGAAGATTGCGTGGAAACTAAGACCAGCCTAGATTTGAATGAGAGCACGAGTTAAGAAATAGAGGTCAGAGTTGATCAAGCATCGGTCTTGTCAATGATAACAGGCTTTTTAGGTTTTGCAAATGCTAATCTAAGCGCCTCGTTCACATTTTTAATACGCTCTTTTCCACGTTTGCGCATGACCTCTTGGAATTTCCTTTCTTTCTCTTCTCGAAGTATAGCAGCATCCTCCCGCTGCTTCAATTCTCTCGCTAATTTCTCCGCCATTCTTGACTTCTTTTCCCGTGCTCGCCTTTCGACCGCGGCCTGTTTCGCTGCCGCCTGTTTCACTGCGGCCTCTTTCACTGCGGTGTCGGAAACAATACCAAAGTGAGCGTTCAACTCGGCCTCCAACTCAAGCGCCAAGTCATCTTCTTCCATAATCCACCGTCGCACCGCGACTTGAATCATTCCATCCGTGTACGTTCTGGGAACCCATGGATCCGACGCGTGCAACGAGCCTCCGGGGTAATGTTTGACGGACTCGGCCGTCATGTCGCGCGTCAAGCTCGCGAGGGCGCCGGCCCGGTAGTGGAAGTCGCCATTTGCCAGCCGAGAAATATCGGGGTGGGTGGTGTAGAGGTGCAGAAGGAGCACTTTTTCGCAGGGTTTCCATTTGTTGTGGTATATGGATATCTCCGAGCCGGTTTTTCTGGGGGTTCTCATCTTGGCTATTTTTCGCACGACGCCTGGCTCGACAGTGTCTTGCGTGGTGGTATCTTGCGTGGTAATATCTTGCGTGGTAATATCTTGCATGACGGTATCCTGCATATCAGCATCTTGCATGACAGTATCTTGCATGACGGTATCAGCCATAATTGTAAATAGCAGTGAAGTTTTCTAAATCTAGTTAAAAAGACAACTGATATATAGCTTATAGATGTATGAATAGTAAGGTATTATGAATGAGTTATGAGTTCTAAAGAAATAACATCTCTCAGACGTAATCCAGCCATTTATACTTCCCCATGCGAATTTGTTCAATTCCTGTTCTTCATCTTTTCACGGCGATGCATCTACATCGTCGACTTGATGACTGTTCTCAAGACAATTGTATTGTTCTTGGAGATGCTTGATAAAGAAGAAAGAAGATGACAAAGAAAGTTGGATAGGTTCATTTTGTGGGATGGGGTTGTTTCTTTGTTGTGTCAATTGACGTTATCAAAGTATGTAAGATGACATGGTCGAAAGTCTTTTTTAATATATCTGATAAATTCTTATCCTACTATTCTCTGTTCATACACGCAGATCAACTCATCTAATTCATATCAGATGATATAAGTTCAATATCTCAGTTCTATATATCCAATAAATACATATTCTAATCAAACTTTATACATTCCCTCAACTCATTTACTTACTATACACCAGACGATAACAGTTGAATGTCTCAATATAATATATTCAATAACTTCATATTCCAGATACTCTTTCTCATACAAAGCCCCCAACTAATATCAAACAATACAAATTGAATATCCGATATTATACATCTAACAAACCCATTCAAATATTTCCCCCAAGTCCTCTACTCTGATTCATATCAGATAATACAAGTTCAATATCTCAATCCTCTATATCTAAACTCATATTCCAACAACCCCTTTCACACATTCTACTCTCTCAACTTATACACCAAGCGATACTAGCTGAATATCTGAATATCTTAATATCACATATCCGGTAAACCTAGATTCCCCAAATCCTAGTCATACATCTCCAAAACCCTTTCATACATTCCCTCAAGCTCCTCTAATTCATACCAGACTATATAAATTCAACTCTCAATCTCAAGCAAAAATCTCAAAATCTCTCTCCCTCTCCCTCTCCCTCTCCCTCTCCCTCTCCCTCTCCCTCTCCCTCTCCCTCTCCCTCTCCCTCTCCCTCTCCCTCTCCCTCTCCCTCTCCCTCTCCCTCTCCCTCTCCCTTCCCTTTCCCCTTCCCTCCTCACAACCCACATCCGAATACCAACCAACCTCATACTACCTCAATAATCACATCAGATTCCTCAACCACAATCACATTTTCAATCTCTCTACACACGACGCGACTTAGATCTATCTAGATACTTACTCCCGAGGTTATATAATAAAATATATATTTCTTAGTATATTATCGGAACTCAAATTTACTTTTTCCTTTCTCTTTTTTCAGAAATAGAAATTGAAAATTAGAAATTGAAAATAAATATTTGATGATTTGATGATGGTTACTCACTTCACGTTTATTATTTATAGAATAGAGAATTAACAAAAAAAATTAAAAAAGTTATATATAGGTATCCAATAATGATCCCCTTTCTAATCCCCCTTCTAACCCCCCTTCTAACCCACTTCTAACCCACCTTCTCATTCCCCTTCTCAGTCCCCTTCCCATTCCCCTTCTTTATTCCCCTTCAATTCGTATTCCCCGTTCAATTCGTATTCCACTTCATTCTTATTCCCCTTCATTCTTATTCCCTTTCAATTCTTATTCCCCTTCAATCTTATTCCCCTTTCAATTCTTATGCCCCTTTAAATTCTTATTCCCAGTTCTCTTAAATCTATCTCATAATTAATTATCTAATAATTCTAAAAATCAAAATAAGTAATTCTATATCTCTCGCTCTCCCCTCTTCTCTCTCCTCTCTTCCTCCCCTCTCTTTCCCTTCCCTCCCCTCTCTTCCCTTCCCTCTCCTCTCTTCAAAACAAATCTAACTCAATAATCCAATCCAATAATCCAATAACCAACAATCCAACAATCCAATCCAATAATCCAATAATCCAATAATCCAACAATCAACAACCAAAAACTATACCCCCATCCACCTACCCACCATCTCGAATCTGCTCTCCTTTCAAATCTTAACATCTTAACATCTTAACATCTTAACATCTTAACATCTTAACATCTTAACATCTTAACATCTTAACATCTTAACATCTTAACATCTTAACATCCCATCCTAACATCCCAAAAAGCTACACGCTACACACAAGCAGAACATGAATAGTAAGAGAGGTTCGGAAAGGAAGGAGTTTTCAAACTACCTACGAGGTTTTAATTTGATCATTACGCCTACGAACACAAAAATAGTAAATTCCACAACTCAAGAATCAAGATTGAAAAACTCCAAGCACATGATGATAAAAATAGGAATGATGATTTTTACTCTATAAATTTCATAATTTGACAAAATTTGCGCTATCTATACTATACAACAGGGTATTAAATGTATGAACAAAAAAAGGATTCAAATTATTTTCCACTCAGTTCATAACATAACATAACGTATGCAAATTCGTCTTTCATATATGCGTCAACATATCGAGAACGATGACATTCGCAACCAATCCAGAATTCCAGATACCAAAATATCCATCCGCCGCTCAAGAGCTTTTATCCTGTCCCGATCCAACGCAACCCAATGCAATGTAATACAAATCTCATACACGCTATCCCATCTCAATCATACTGTTACATTTCATCCATCATTTTCATCCCTTCCATTTAATATTTTCTCGCAAGCGTCGATCTCGATCTAATCTTTGCACCGAAGAAATAGATAAAGTAAATCAAAGCACAAAGACCAATACTAATGAATCCAATAGTACCCATAGCCCATTTCGTAGACATGTTATCGAACATGAGGACACCGAGATGGGCGAGACCTGCTGCGAGAGCAAAAGATGGAATGAGGAAAGCTGCGATTGCTGCACCGGCGACGTTGGGATAAGAGTCTGAAGAGATGAAAATTAGCGAGATGTAAGCGGTATAATGAAGGGGTTACATACCAGTAATGTAATTAAGCATACTAAGCCACAATAATGGATCTGCAAAACCAAGAACACCACCTGCTACAACTGGTGACCAATAAGATACGCTTCCATCAGATGTGAATGCGAACCAAAGAAGTGTAATTGGGAAAAGCCAGACGGTAACCAAAGAAGTGATGAATCTAGCTTCTGGACGGTTGATACCATGCTTCTTACGATCTCTCGCGTAGAACCAAGTTTGAACCGGAACGAAGAGAAACATGACCACTACTCCGACGACGAAATTAAGGTATGTAAGATCGGCACCGATGTAAGTGAGACCATTGTTGACGACGAAAACATCAAACACACCATCAAGGTATAAGAAGAGAATACCGTAGGCGAAACCGTTGTACAACCCGAGGAATATAACGACTGGCTCTGTGAACATGATTCTGAATGTCATGGTTGTGATGAACTTCATTTCGTGGAGAACATTGAGTCTACTTGTCAAGATGGCAGCTTCTTGCTCATCGACAGCTTCACTCTTTGCAGCTGCTTTGGCGATAACCAATCTTGGTAGTGTTTCTGGGATAAAACACAACAAGATAGAGAATGCGAATCCGATAATTACGTTAATCAAGAAGATCCATTTGAGACCCATATTTGCATTGTCGGCGATCCACTCTCCAACGGGAGATCCAAGAGATGGACCAATGTTTGCAGCTGTGTGCACGTCATTGGTATTTTTTGTCTATGGCATGAAGGGTTGGATATAATTAAAACTCACACATGACGAAGAGTGCCATTGCTTGTCCGGCACCATCAATGTCACCAAACAAGTCCGCAATTGTACCAGCGACATTAGAAAGAGCAGTAGAACCTGCCGTGCCAGCAAGGAACATAAAGATAACAAGCATAGGAAGGTTAAGAGCATATGCGGTTCCCTAAGACTTGTTAGAATGAATGGAGTGAAGATTGCTCTGAAAATAACTCACAAAGTTCAAAATTGCATAGAATGCAATGCTGATAACATAAATCCATTTGCGGCCACCAAGATCACTGTAAATGTTCAGTTATAATTCTTGTACACAACCACGATGATCGCGTTGTGCGTCATATGTCGTGTTCAACCTACGATAATGGACCCAAGAAGATGGGACCGACAGCTGTTCCTAAAATGAACATACTCTGACCCAGAGTAACGACTTGAGTAGTTCCTCCAAACTTCTCTTGGATCAAGAATTCAGCAGATACATAAGTTGTACTGGTCAGAGTAACAAATGTCTGTAACATGCAATAAACCACCACGATACCCCATCGTTTGAAGGCAGGCCAATGCATCGGATGATGTTCATCTTGAGCCTTTACGAGTTCGAGAATGGCAATTGTTTGATCTTCGTGTCTCGTAGCAGCGTTTTCATTTCGCGGAATGATATCACCTTTTTCGACGTTGGATGAATCCGAGGCACGGTTATGCTCGTCGATCTTCTTCTCGGCATTGTCGATAGAAGCCATGGCGAACGAGCGAGCGAACGAACGAACGCACAATCAACGGTGAACTTTTCTTGAAAGAGAAGCTTGGCCAAAAAAGTAAAAATCTGTGAATATACCAAAGAGTGTATATCTAGAGCGAGAATGATCGATAATGTAGCAGAGGAGATTGGGGCACTATTTTAACGTCCTTGGCTGACGGTTTGAAGATAAGAGAGTCGGATGATCAATTCATTGGAGACGTATGCAAGAGATAGGAATATATATTCCACAGGATGATGATATTTGTGAAATGAGAAGTTCATGGGAAGAAAACGGAACGAAGGAATATTTCGATAAGAAATTTGCAAAATCGGCCGTGCCGCGTAGCCCTATTATCGGTAGCATTGTGATGATTTGGATAGGGTTATCCATGTTGATGAATGGAGAACATTTTCATCGGAAAAACCTGAGTTTGGTCAAGGTACGAAATAGTTGGGAATAGTAAGCAATGAAGAGGCAATGAGAGTTCATGATTGGATTATGGTTCCTCGATTCATGCTTATCTTGACCTAATCTGGGAGACTCGGGGGTTGTCGAGACGAGGTATCCATTTTCTCCCTTGAACTTTCTACTTCCAGGTTTCTTGCTAAAGGGTCGAGAGGGTCTCTTAACAATGAAGGTTGGTCAAGAAAACGAAGTCATAAGCCACAGATAAGAAATGGTGTGCCGCATAAGAGGTGGATCTTCTCGTCTCATGTCAAGTTTGTATGGGAGATGGAGAAACAGTGGAAGAAATGGATTAATTTAGAAGCTGCTTGTTTGTCCCTGGTAGGTAGGTAGTTAAAAGAAGAACTTGAAATCCATGTGGCGAATACGCAAATGTATCAAGATGAGGAATCACTTCTGGTTATGTGTGAATAGGTAATGATAGACAATGAAGTTGTTGTTGGTGTTGTATTTTGATGCAAGATGAGGTGCAGATTGCCCAGACATTTGTTGAAGCCTCCCGTCTTGGGACTGCAATTTTCCGGTATGGTATGGTATGGTTGTCTCGTTGTGTATGGTTGTGAATGGAGATAGCCCTGTTGCCCAGACGGGAGTGTGAATAAGATCGTGGAAAGGTGCATAAAGCTCATGCCCAGAGATGTTGAGCATGGCTTACATGGCTTTGCCGTGGATTTGCCCCGACGGAGAGCAGATCATGGAGAGATTTCCGAGAAAGCCATCAGCCATCAGCCACACCGAGGGAAAAAGGCGATGTCCGAACGCTGGAAAGTTGGGACAGTGAGTTGGATTCTGGTCTGGGGAAGAAGGAGGAGGTGAGTGGTTAGATACGAAGATAAAGAGAGATCAAGGTTCAAAAGGTCCAAAGAGATGTCATTCATTATCAAAAATGGGGAAGAGAAATGAGGGTGAAGTCAAGTGAGGTGAGTGAGACATCGAGGCGATTGATTGATTGATTGATCCTATAATAAGCTGGTAGACCTCGGCATTGAAAGTATCGACATTGTCTGAAATTTATTGTTGAAATTGTTAGAGGATTGAATTGGATTGGATTGGATTGGATTGGATTGGATTGGATTGGATTGGATTGGATTGGATTGGATTGAATTGAATACGACTTTTCTTTCTACTCGAGTGGCCTTGTCGTCCCAAGTCTAAGGATGAGTAGAAAGCTATCATTACTTTATTTATCTTACTTCTCTTATACATAATGTTAAGGCATCACTACAAACGAACCTCAATCCAAATCAGTTACTACCACCTGCATACATAATATTCATTGGTAGGAACAAGGCCTTAGCAAAATCTCCTTCCAAAAAGTAAACAATTGAATCTTCTTTATGATAATTAAGGTATCAAGGTATTTTCCAATTCCTCGTCTTTGATCTTGCTCTTCCTCTTTCTTCACCATCTCCATTCTTTGTGTCTCGGTGAAATGATATGAAAGGGTGAATGAAGAACTGCCAACCACATCACCAAAAGAGTCGCACCCTGATATAAGGATATCATCAATATCAAAGGCCAAATCCAGATCCAAATCCAGATCCAAATCCAAATCCAAATCCAAATCCAAATCCAAATCCAAATCCAAATCCAAATCCAAATCCAAATCCAAATCCAAATCCAAATCCAAACGCAAGATGGTATTCTAGCAACCTCCTGGCATTCCCTACTTGCGAGACCGCAAATCTCAATATTCAAGCCAAGGTCATGATGGTCGTTTGCACATTGGAATCATTACTGTTGTACAGAATTGGAAGGGAAGACCTCTTTCCGTATCAACCCAACAACTACAGTATACTACTTACTACCTACACAATACAATAATTCACCACCGCAAAAAGGTTCATCGACAGTGGGCAACAAACGTATCTTCCGAAGTTCTACTAAAATTGTTACCTCCGAATCTTGTTGTTCTTATTGTTCTTCCCGTGTTTCCTACTATCAACATCACACTTCACTTACTTCACCCTAAGCCCTTGAACCATCGAAATCCCACCTAGCATCGTTCAATGGTGAGCCTCGTCCATCACTTGTTTGTGTTTTTCATTTCGACCAATCACAACTCCCCAAACATGTGTGGCTTATGCAGGTCAGTGTGATCTTTCCATTTATAGCTCAGGCTAAGGGTATGAGGGGTAAGGCTGGCAGATTGCCTTGCTCTTTTTTTCCCAGATGCCCCTTCCCGATATATCGTACCTCGAAAAAGATCTCTTGATCTACCTAGTAATTACATTTCGGGAGAAACACAGAATTGACATGGCCAGAGATCTTTTCGACATTATCGATTTGATCTTGGCCAATCCATATTGATTCTTGCTTTTCCAACTTACGATCTTTGGACCCCGAAGATCAGCTAGCTAGCTCCAGATTCACTACTAGTTTTCTAGTCTACCCCATCCATTCTTCAAATATTAATCACCTTCAACTCCCACCCAACTATCACATCATCATTTCAACATTCAATAACTTCTCCCAATTCCATTCGTGCTATCGCAGCGTCTTAAACTTCCATCAACACATCTCAATTGAAAGATCTCGCACTTGCAATCTCTCTTCAATTACTCCAGCTTCTATTCACCACCGCCGCATATCTCAAGATGCCTACCAAGAAGAAGAAGAACGTTTCTCAACGCTCTACTCAAACACGGCTTCCCTATGCCATATCCAAGAGAAAGAAGGACGAATCGTTCGAAGTCTCTCGATCCAAGCGAGCCAGGGCCTATTTAGTAGTCTCCGATAGTGACAATTCCTCCTCAGTAGAAAATGACGATGACGACGACAACAAGTCTTCCCAGATCAGCACACTCGATAGTAGTGTCACTGCTTGGAGTGACGAGGATGATGACGACTCTGATACTGGATCGGTTATTGTCGTTGACTCAGGACCTATTGCAATGGCCGCTGCAACAGTTGCTGCTCCGAATACTAATCTTGACAAGTTGTTTAAGGAGGTTATCCCAATAGAGGTACGTTTTGTCTTTTGAGTATTTCTACTCATGTTCGTCAGTCGTGCATGTCGTCGTGCGACAGATACCTCAGATTCATTCGTCTGATTGCGATAACCTGAAGATCGCTTGATCACATCCGTTATTCCTCAGGCTGTCGACTAGACCGTTGAAGTTATTGCGGATAGTAGACCGAAATTTGCGTATGCTTCCCCCTAGACTCTATTCGCTAACCACTCAAATACAGGTACACCAAAATATCGTCAAGTTCTTGCCCCACGATCGAGACATCATACGATACTCTCAAATCTGTCGAAAAACTCGCAGTGCTATGTCGGATAGTGTCTGGCGTTATCGATTTCTGGAGAAATTTGATGCAGTACCCGATGCGCCTGTAGAACTTTTGAGGGAGAAGTATCAGGTCAGACACAAGACCACCAAGCTCTACACCAAATTCGAATTCAACAAGTACCGGTACCTTCCTAGTGCAGATATCGCACGAATCGAAAGGGCGCAAGAAAAGGTCCTTGATATGCTCCAGAACCTCATAATTGGTATGTCTCTTTTGAAACTGTCTTCGTCAAGCGTACATCCTAATGAAATGGTACAGAATCCGATGCCCACAAAAGTTATGACGACAACGGCGATGAGATGATTGTAAGTCGCAACATTGACTACATTAGGCAATATGTTGAAGGATCCTTCGTATCGGGCACAACTCATGCTGGAGATATAATTGATATCATTGATTCCATTGCGAAAACTCGTAATGAGTGGGACCTGAAAGCTATCTGTTCAGTTGATAGTAGTGCCAATACCCGGGTGTTGTTGATTCAACTATGCTTGACATCCATTTCTTGGGACCCAAGATATTGCACAAATACAATCTCTCAGTTCGACTTGTCCCAGTTGGAGGTTTACGCACCACCAGCGAGACAACCATTGTTTCTCGGGAAATGGAAGGGTGACCTCAACGTCCGTTGGTGTTTACATGTGGCGAATTTCTTCAAGTTTCACCTCAAAGCTGGAAAGGGTGAAGGACTTCTCGCTCATGCCTATGCCGAACTTGAACAAAGTCAATTGCCACAACCATGGTTGGGTCGATTGAAGTCGGGAACACAAAAGCTAGGAAGCCATTGGAAAGGAGCCTATTGTAAGTGTCGGCGATATACTGCCTCGAATTCCCGGGAACTAATTCGACCTTAGTTTATGTCAATCCTGATGAATTGGCAAGAATGAGACGAGCTGGAGAAGAAACCTGACGACGGTCCTTACTCGGATGAACTAGATGGTGGGGAGTCATTTCAGGTAAGCCAATCATGAGAATGTGTCAGTGGTGCAGGATGACTAACTTAGTGTCGCAACAGGATATATCTCTATTTTTCGACGACCAGATTTTCGGAAAGCAACATTGGCCCAAGTCGTGGGAAACAATTCTTCATAGTGATCCATTCTCCAACGCTGCTCCTGAGCCCACCTCTCAACGTCGTACTTCGAGACGCACTACTCGGTCGAAAAAGGACTTCAAGAAACCAAAAGAGAACCCGAACCCAGGCGTGGAGTACTTTTACGGTTCTTCAAATGACTCTTCCTCGACTGCCCATTTCTATGGAGCTGTACATGGGATTCCTCCACAGCATGGGATTCCTGGCTTTCAAAGAATTACCATCATGAAGTTTTTCTCGGATCGGAATGGGTTCCATGATCCAGGACAGTCTTGGGGCTATGAAGGTTGTGTTTTACCTGGTGGTCGCATCATTGTTGGTCGATGGTTCGATGCGCAATCTCATTCTTCTAGGGATGTGATGTCAGGACCGTTCATTTTCTGGAATACGGATGAGAGTGATGCAACAGAGCCCATTGATGGCAAGGAAGCTTTGAAGTTTCTCAAACTCTTGAAGCTCTACAACCATTGTTAGCTTGTGCCTTTGCGGGCTAACCACATTTTATTTAATGATTTGCCACGACTTTTCAGTGCCGGTCACATCTAACACAATAAGATGGGGATTAAGTTCCTCGACATAAGGCTATCAATTAACGATTCTTGTGATGAATCGATCCAAGATCATGAGCATATTTTCAAAGCATCAGCGCAGCAGCAGCAAGCATACCGTTCCAACATATCCGACACATTGGCCGGCGACAAATAGTGAAACATAGAATCTTAACGCAACTCAATAACTTCTTTTCGTTTTAAGAAACAGTATTATTTTGGACCAACAATATGGATATTTTTCATAGTTAACAACGAACCTCGGGCATCGTTTACTAGCAATTCTTTTCATTTCGATTTGCACATATTTAACCAACTTTCGACATTCTTTTCAGACAGATATTCTTCAACAAACTTTCGGTATTCTCTTTTCAAAAATAAGTTTGGCGCAATTTTCTTTCCTTGATTCAATTTTCATATTAATTTTTTTCTTTGGAAGGGACGGGGCAGTAGGGAGGGAAGTGGGTGGATTGATTTGCAAAAGGGAGGGAGTTTTATTCGAGGAATTGGGAATGGGATTGGGGTGTTGGATGGATATAAATGGATCTGCATCGTGGATATACCCCCTTTTTTCACAATCTGGCGTTGAGAATGGGGTGGTATCTTGCAATATATGGGTTTCTGCGTTTGTGATCCGCGTTTACATCTGCGTCTGCATTTTTTTCTTTTGTGGAGGAGGTAGCAGTGGTGGAGGGAAGCAGGATTTGGGTGAAGGTCAAATGCGAATGAAATCGAGATCTAGATCTAGATCCATCTAATTGAAAGTTTGCATGTATGCACGCGTGCGGGCATTGATCAGCGAGCGATGTACTTTTCTTTGGTTCTAATGGGATGAATGGTCATTTTCGTATGGACTCGTGCCGTTTCATTTCTAGAAGATCTCTATAGATTGTTGAAAGGAAAGAGCGTACGTAGCACGTACTTCAACTTTATGGATGTGAGAGAAGTAAGGCGGTTCGTAGATTGAGGATCTTGAACAGAATTGAAGAATTGAAGAATGAAAATTTTATTAAAATTGGTATGCAGATATCAGTAGAGATTCGTGTGATGTGCTGGATGTGCTGAATGTACTGGATGTATATGTATTGATATATTAATATATTAATATACGGAGAGATGTAATATGAACTTTTCTTTACTAATCTATATACATGCATATATAAATAAAGATATAAATAAAGATATAAATAAAGATATAAATAAAGATATAAATAAAGATATACGTATCTAGGTACATATATAAATAAAGATAAGAAAGATGTATTAACTCAGCTATCGAGTTCTTGAGTTCTTGAGTTCTTCAGCTCTTCAGCTATCGGGCTCTTGAGTTCTTGAACTCTTGAGCTAGGTATTCAAAATACTAGCTAGATTTTAGAAGGGTATGTAGATTTTAGAAGGATAGATTTTAGAAGGATAGATAGTTGATAAATGATAACTGATGAATAATTTACAAAAGTGTAATCCATGAATGAAAAGGGTTTGTCGCTAAGTACACTCACTCAGTAAGGAGGGAGATTAAGAGGTTAGGAGATTAGGAAATTAGGATTCATACCATCGTACGTCTATTTATCTATTTGTTTTTTATATTTATCCTGAGGTTATGGGGGGAGGAAGTCGAGGAGGGAACGGAGGAATGGAATTAGAGTGTTCTGCGTCCTGCATGTATTTTTTTATCCTGAATTCTCTTTTTTTTTGGGCAAACTTACAACTTAAAAACTTGTCTCGCCTCTCTACTTTGTAACTCATTTTATTTGAAGTTTATCTTTTGTCTTTATGTTTACCTGCCTACGGTATCTGTCCCAAAACGCCTCATCTACTCGTACGAAAGCTTGATCAACTTCTCAACTCCTTTCCTCTTCTTTCCGCCCCTTTCTTCCCGCCTCTGTGCGCGCCTCTTAACTTAAATCTATTCCTCAATCTCCTTGACACATTCCCACTCGCCCCTCAAATTTTCCTTCCATAAAGAAACCTTATTATCACCTCCACTGACTGCCAATACGTTTCCGCTTAAACTCCACGATACGCGCCAGACTTCGCGTTCGAATTGGAGAACTTTGGATTCCCATTGACCTGGGCTAGAAGCTGCGGATGAGGTCCAGATGCGCACGGTTTTGTCTTGGGAAGCGGATGCTATGTAACCTATTGATGTGTTAGTCGTTTTGAATCTTTCATTGCAGGGGAGAGTAAGATGAAAATGAAAGAAAGAGGAAAACATACTCTTTTGTAAAACAGTAGGACTCCACGCAACATCCCTAACCCAATCGCCATGTCCCTGTAATGGAGCCCCTTCCACCTTATAGCTCAGACTAGCTTGATCCCAACCCCAAACCCTTAAAAGATTATCACTTCCTCCGGTAACAAATCTCCTCACACCACCTTCCTTTCCTCCCGCATTCGCACTGACCAAGCTACCCGGCTGCGAAGATGGCGCCCAAGAAACACTATTCACACCAATACCATGCGCATGGAAAATCTTATGATCCATGGAATTATCCTTGAATTCTAGAACCGAAACATTTCCATCCGAGGATGCGCAAGCAAGGAGACATCCGGATTCATGAGGACACCAGGACAGAGAGTTGACGGATGCAGTGTGCAGAGCGAAATCGTAGATCTTGGTCCATACCGATGAGGTTTCGCGGTAGATGAGAACTTTGCCGTCGTAGCCTGCGGAGGCGAGGATATTGCCGTATTTGGGGTGAGCCCAGGAGATGGACCAGATGGCCCCTTCGTGGCTGGAGTGGATGTGTTAGCTAGGTGAGGGTAAAGCTGTGGCCTTTGAGAAGAATGTCATCATGAAGATGTAGTAGATGTGCAATGTGCAATGTGCAAAACCAGTGTGTTGAGCGCATGAAGCCTATGTGTTTGAAGTGTATGAGGGATTTCAGGAAGCAACATACCCCTTCAGTGTTTCTGTAAGACGATGTGTTTCCCCTTCGATTTCAAAGATCTTTACTGTACGATCCGACGAACATGTTGCCAGCCTGCGACCATAATAATCTAAAGCTGCATCGTGCTATACAACAAGCAATTAGTTTATTGACTTTCGATAACACGCTGAAAGCTAATGATGGAACAATTCCTGGTGAAACCAGAAAAAATACGACCAAGGAATACTTACAATCATATCATCATGACCCGAATTGGTTATTGTTTGCGCCATACTGACACAAGGGAATTAATTGATTGTATATGTAATTCGAAACACCTTCTGAGTTCCTGAAGCTCTCAACTGATTGATGCTGCCAGATCGTATCTAAGCGGCACTTACCGCTTTTGGTACACATCGGGGAAACATTTCCCCGGCAGAATTTAACCTGCATGTGATTTCCGTGATAAGGATGCTGTTATCCTGACCGCTTACTCATTAGAGAGGCAAAATCCCGAGTCTTAATCTAGTGTAGGTTTGCGATGACATCTTTCAATCTTCTCTCTTCTCTTCTCTTACCTTTCTTTCTTTTCCTTACTTATCTCATTGGTTTTTAAGGGTAATTAATTGAGAAGATAGATTCGTATCAATTCATTCAATACATCCATACAGTTTTTGTAATCTTCTAATAAATATCTCCATCCTTCTTACATCTTCTATAATTTCACAGATCCATTTCATAAGCCTCGGTTCAACAATTAAGCTCACATTCCCGGATCATCACATAATCGTAATTTTGGGAATCTTTCAACTACAATCAATCCAGATTAATTTTTCGCAATAGGAAACAAAAACATGGCAGACAATCTTTGTGGTCCATCTAATGCTTTGCAGAACTTCCAAAAGCATTCGAATGTTGATCGCACTCTACAACAAGATCGATTAGTTGGAAGAGCGCCGTCGTCGCAAGTATGTATTATATATTATTCTTCACTTACTCCTAAGCGCATTACATTACAGCCACAATCTTGCTCACAACACAATAGGGCTTTCGAGCTTCTCCAGGTCCAAATGCAGGTCAGCTAGATGCTGAATTCGCAGCTTTCCAAGCCGGTCATCAATCACTTGGTCCCTCTCCATCGGCGCAAAACTTCACTCCACATCATTTCCAAACTCCACCTCCTCAACTCTTTCAAAACGTCGCAACCACAAACATTCTGCAGGTCAAGGATGGGCTAATGATTTCCAAAATATGAGCATATCTGGTCCTCAAGCGCAATTTCAACAACAAGGGGTAAATCAAACCATTCAACCACAAATGGGAGCAGGATGGCATCAGGAGTTTGCGCAAAGTCATGGAGCCCCGGGAATGATTGCGCAAGGAAACCAACCTATCATGGCAATGAATCGCCCTTCTATGATGAATGCCGGATATAATCCAATGCCTAGAGTTCTTATGCAACAAAATCAGTTTGCATCTACGAGCCAGTCATTGGTAGAAAACAATGAAGTCTTTGATGAAGCGGCATTCGCCAGAGCTTTTGAACAAGCAGCTAATGCGGAAAGTGAAAGGGCGCAACAACAGGAGCTAGAGTCACAAGCTGCTAGTGTCCAACATGAAGAGACTCACACTATGGATCATCTACATGTTACAAAGGAGGCAGAATCAGAACTCGAAAGAGCGGAGAAGCAACTACTCGGCCAAAGCTTACTCGGCGCAGATACCATTCAGGATCCCGCAACCGCTACATCAGAACAAAATATACATGCACCGGATGCGCTATCACGTACAGCTGGTGAACTTTTATCTAGTGTTAGTAATAACCAAAGCGAGAAGTTTCAGAATAGCCAGTTTCTACAACTCATGCGACAATTTCGCGATAAGGAGGTTACGGTTGAGGGGGATGAAGTAGTAGATGGGCCCATGAAAGCTAAAAAAGGCGATCGTAAGGACGGAGGTGGACAAGAATCTTTTGAAATGGTTGGAGCACCCTAGCATAGTTTATTGGATTGATCCTCTCCCTGTGGACTTTTTGCTGTAAATATTTTTGCTTGCTTGCATATTGATTGGTCCTCTGCCTTGTGGATTTTTTAACTGTACATACTATACCTACTTGTTTTGCTTATGCGTAATTGAAAACATTCAAGCCTTTCGAAGGCTTCATAGACTAACTTAACTAATCTGAAATCAAATACAACAGATCATGAAAATGGCACAAAAAACTGGAGAAACAGCTATGAATGTTCAAGCTATAGCTGCCCTCTCAAACGCAGAACACAACGAGCAAAAGAAACTCGCGCGCGAGAAGTATCAAAGTGCCGAGGAAAAACAAAAGCAACATATAGCTCGGGATCGCTTAACTCAGATTATGAAAATGCTCCCGAAACAGGATAAAGAGACTGCAGGTACGGAATTGGAAATGAGGCGATTGGTTGATGAGGGGTTATTGGCCAGGCTTTGTCCGGACTATGGGGGGGATAGAGAGCAGGGTGTGGAGGGTTTGGGAGATGGTGAGGGGGGAGGGGGGTGTTGAGGAGGGAGATATTGAGGAGGAGGATGTTGAGGAGGGGGATGTTGAGGAGGAGGATGTTGGGGAGGGGGATGTTGAGGCGGAGGGAATATTGAGGAGGGGGATCTCTGGGAGGGCGGATATTGGGGAGAGGGATGTTGAGGAGTGGGGTATTGATCTTTTGACATATCTACAGAAGAAAGAGCAGCGGTACGAAGTCTTCAAGAATAGTGAGGTGGAAGGAGGATATTGGGGAGTGGGATATTGATGAGAAGGATGTTGATGAAGAGTTGTTGGCCAGGCTTCGTCCGTTTCATACGAGGGATAGAGAACGTTATGTGAGATCTTTGGGGATGGGGAGGGGGGGGTTTGCGGTGGCGAGGGAGGCAGGGGGAGGAGTGGAGGGAGGAGTGGAGGGAGGAGTAGGAGGAGGAGGAGTAGGAGGGAGAAGCGTGAGGAGCGTGAGGAGCGCGAGGAATAAAACAATAATCAGGGTTTAGGGGTTCGCATTGATACTTGACAAGGAGTGGAGTGAAGGGATGAAGAAGTTTCTATCCTCGATGTTGCTGCGCTTATAGATTGGGCCTGAATAGGAGAGGGGTGATTGAATTGAGATTGAGATTCAGATTCAGATTCAGATTCAGATTCATACAAGGACTTGAATGATCGATCAGCTGGATATAACATAACATCTCAGCTATCCAATAGAGCTAGATTATTAGATTGAGATAAAGTCAGTAATTAATAATGTTTAATATTAACTAACTCAAAATTTTCTCATCAAACCTACTACTCAAATTTTTTCAGTAACTGACTGCACTGTATCTCAGATACTGCGAATGTCAAAATAAATAAAGTAAAATTAACCATTAACAGAAAGCAACTCTTGGAGCAAATGGCCTCGGCCTGGATATATAAACATCTTCATCTCCGCCTCGAAACATGAAAGTACTCGTAAACTCCCGAACCGCCCCCTAAAAATAAAGTTGCATAGTATAACTCCCCCATAATCACAACCCTGCTTCCATTGCAGAGTTTCATATCCTCTACCCGACCCTGATACCCGACCCCTCATCAATCCCATTTTCTAAATCTTGATCTTCCCTTGATTTATGATCTAGCCAATACTTCAAACGCAATGCACGCTCGTGGCAATACTCCCCATTTCGCTCGAACAATTTCTACAACTTCTTCTCCTCTTTTAGTCTCTTTTCCTCTTCGGTGACATAATCTCTCCAGCCCTCACCCCTCATCCCACTAAGCATCTTCCTCAACATACCACTCCTTAACGCTCTTCCATCCCTCTCATAAGCCATCTCAATAGCCATTAAACTAATGACAAAAATCCACACATCACCACCCTTTATTCCCTTCCACCATCCTCTCTTCTTGCCAACCTTCCATAACGAATCCATCGATGCACGCGCACTGTATAAGAATTCTCCTCTTGCATCTTTTCTAACTACAAATCCCCAAAGACCACCCAATGCACCTCCTAGGAAGAATCTCTGGGTAGGTAGGACATGTCTGGGCATGATCGATTGGAAAGCGCAGATACTAGCCCAGCTAGTGCCGATGGCGCCAGAAATATAAAGGGTAGATTTGAGGATACGGATGGCGAGGGTGTTTAGCGAAGAGATGGGGGAATTGTAGAATTTGCGATAGGCGGGGAGAGAGAAGAGCGAGAGGATTAGAGTGAAGAATCGAGCGAGGCGGGGGAAGACTTGGATCCAGTAGGTGAGATAAGTGCGGAGACAAGAAGGGTCCGACGGGTGGAGAGTAGCGCATGTGAGGGATGTTATTAATGGATGGGCGGGAGAGGTTATGGGAGAAATGCCGCTGAGAGACTGTGGTAGAGTAGGGTTGTTGGGGAAAAGAATTGGGGACACGAAGGGTCTGGCATGAATGTTAGTGTGTTTGACATGAAATTGTGAGAGTAATGATAACATACGGGTAATTAAGACGTGCCATTTCTGCGAGATTATCAACGATGCCGTAAGTATTTGGCCATGGTAAATTGGCTGGATAATCTTCCGGTCGAGTTTGTATGTAGTGTGGAGAGTTTTTGAGAATGAAATCTCCATATTGCTGTACATCATTAGCACCGACGCCGTTCAGAGCAATTGGAAACCATACCTTTGGAAAGCAATCTCTATCAAAAATGAAAGCATGAAGCAATTGACCACAAGTCAATGGGAAAAGTAACCAACTTCCCCACCACCACGGTCTCTCCCATCTACTTCCCTCTTTACCCCAAATCCAGCCCTCTTCTTCTGCCAAGTTATATGATATTTCTGCAGCTCTACTCAACGCATAAATCGCAATTGTAACTCTCAGCTGATCACTTGGATAAACCCCCAACATAAACCCAGCCAAACTTGCTCCAACCGCCGGTGCCAAAGTCGATGTAAGCGTCTTACTTGTTTTCGGGTTTCGCTGTCTGAAAGGTTCGGCTTCGGATGTAAGGAGATGTGCGCGAAGTCGGGTGAAGAATCGGAAAAGAATCCGATGCAGAAGGAGTATCGTAGAGAGGGAAAGAGAGAGGCGGAAGTTTGGCGACTTCCATAATGAAGTCTTCTTCCCCCTATAACATCAATTAGCTGTCGTTTAACTTTAATTTCACGTCTGCAAGAAGACGAATAGAAAAAAACGTACCCAGCTTTACCAGCTCCCATGAATTTCTCCGAGATCAAACTCCATATCTTCAATCCCGCATTGGTAGCCAGGAATAACCTCAAGCTACCCCTCACAGCTGCAGCATTATAATCATCGCGACCTGGTCTCTCTACCAATTTCTCTACCTTTGTAACTGTAGGTGCATTTCTCTTCAGAACTTTCGATCGTGAGATTATGTATTTGTGTAGTGTTTCATATTCTTTCGCGGAGATGGTATAACGAATCGCATTGCGGAGAATAGGATCAGCAGTAGATTTAGCGGAGATTCGATCGCGAGGTGGCTTAGGAGCTTCTGGAGCACCGTTGGGTGCTGATTCCATAGTTTTGAAGTGGTTATGGGTGTCGCATGAGTGATGTTGTTTTGTTGATTATGGTGGATAGATGCTTTGAAGTTGGGTAATCTCCTTGATCAACATGTGAAAGTTTACCTCGGCGTGGAACAATAGGGAGAGGTTAAATTGGAGATCTGCGGTAAGGTTTCGTTTTTGGATGGGGAAAAGAGGAGTGTGATGAAGTTTGTGTGATTACTTTATATTTTGAATGTTATGAATGAGGATGTAATGGTTTATCTACTTCATGAATAGATAGTTGTCGTGTTGATGTGGCATATCACGTTGTTGTCGACATATCCTGGTTTGGTGGCCACCACAACCACAACACGATGATCCCCGACATCCAACATATGCAGAACAAATCATTGGAATTATCTAGAGGATATATATGTGTGTAGGGTAATGATGATTTCAAATGTGAAGCTGTTCTGATACATATTAGAGGGGGGTTCTATCTTAGCTTCGTTACTGTCCTTGATACTCACTCGGATCGAATATCCACAACGAACGTCGCAAAGCAACATCAATCAGTGTTTTGAGTGCAGAATATTCCTTCAATAGCTAACCATCAATCCAATAAATACAATCCTTACTTAATTAGAACTTCTAAATAATCAAGTCTTGTGGGGGTCGCCCAGTATCCACCTCATATTTCCCCTCACTTTCTGACCACGTATGAAAACAACATTCATTCAAACCAAGCAATTCTTCTTCATGTTACAGTTCAAGACCGCAATCAAAATGAAAAAAAGGTTCTATCTCGAAGGAAGCAATCAAAAATTCCCCTGATGGGGACCCCGAAGGATACCCAACGATTCTCGTCGCCCCGATGTGCAATGGAGGACTCGTATCATAGCGCTTTCAATCCTTGATCTAAAAACGCTCCAAGAAGGTAAGTATGAGGGAAAAGAAGAAGAAGGAGACAGAGAGAGAGAGGAATTCGAGGCGTTTATATAGAAAACGGGTGGTGGAGTGTGCGCGCTAGAAAGGGGACCAGTTGGTGCAAATGGGACAAACATGGCCTAAAATGGTAAAGCGCCTTTTGAACTAGGCTGTAGTGGTCAAGTGAATAGTTTTAATTCCAATTATCTAAACTCTTTGTTCCATTTTTTTGAAAGTTGCCATTCGGCTCGCTTCGGATATCTACACTACATACTGAACTTCACAGTCATTTCACTTCTGGGACTTGATATTCTTCTTCTCTTTTCCTCATCCTCACCTTCTTGGAGCGTTTTTAGATCAAGGATTGAAAGCGCTATGATACGAGTCCTCCATTGCACATCGGGGCATGTAGATTTCCTTATTGAATATTGTAATCATTTCTTCCAATATCTCGCTTCGGAAATACTCCTTTGCCGGGACCAAGAGTAATCGCATGCCATCAAGACATGAGTCGTCCACTAACTCACTCTACCTCAAGATTCTGGTCAATCTCATATCTTCAATGTGCAAATCAAATTATACAATTGCTTAGACCACTCTAGAGTACAGCTTCCAATATTCGCATAGCTGTATGTAGACCTCCAAGTATCCGTGATAGTTTGAATAAACTCAATCTATTACACAAGCTCCGCTCTTGGGGTGTTTTATTCTACTAAACCACTTCATCAAACGATCATCTTTCGTTTATTGTCTGTATCGTTGGCTAAATAGCTACTATATCTCCAATGCAATGCGTGTAATACATCGCCACAAGTCTTCTCTCGAAGCTCTACTTCAAAGTTTGATGTTGGAAGCCTTTTCACTATAATTCCTTAAGTTCAACGTGGAAATTCGCTGTGGGGTTAGTTGTGAAGTTCATGAAACGAGACTATACACTTCTGCTTCTTCCGATTTTTAAATATCAAATAGTGATATTCAATACTTCTCATAAATTACATTGTAGATTAAAATCATTCGAATTCTGAGTAGACGTAAAAACTCGGAAAGGCCTCACTAAAGATACTCATCAAGTACTGCGATGTCACCAGTTGACTTACCCAAATAGCTTACATAGTTTTGGCCAAGCTTAGAATTGGTTTTCGAGAGTATAGATGATGATATCATTATTACTTGCAGGAAATAAATTCTGTCCTCACCTCCCCCCTCTCTCTCCCACACCCGAACCTCCCACTTTCTCGGGGAAGCATCCATGGAATTGACTGTTTAATATACCTTGGCCAAAGTACACGTATACCAATGTTGTTGAGGGTAATCGATTCTTTCTCCCATCCCAGAACTCTCCAGTTTAGTACCTCGGTTGGTCTGGTGGTCTGGTGGTCTGGTGGTCTGTTTGAAAGACTTATTGCCATCTGCTTCACTGATGAATGTCTGAGCTTCGGCCATTCTTACTCAAGGGGTAGAATCAATGTGATATGTTGGCTAGTAAAGTTGATCAAAAGCACCCTCCAGCCACGTCCTCAACTCTTTATAAACCCAGCCAACCAACCCCTTGGTGAAAAGACACCGCGATCTCATAGCTTGCTTTTCTGTTCTCTCGCCGGCTAGTCCCATTGTTCGAAGTTGGCACTCGTGCCCCAGAAAATAATGAAATGCCTACAATTCGGATGAGTCGGATGGGTATGAGGTTGGAGACTTTGTTGTTCGATTACCTGGTTGCAACGAGAGGCTGCATTCACCAAGGGTTTGGAAATATTAAGAACGATGAAGAAACGGAAGTGGGCAGAACTGTAGATCAAGGGGGACGTAGAGCACAATGTGGAACTCACAATGCTTGATATATGTCATCATCTCAGTATAGTCCTAGAAAAATATCAAATTCGTGTGCAATACAAGTGGCCCCACTAGAATTCTTAGATCACCGCTGTTCATCCAGATAGTGATGCCGTTGCCAGCCTCGAAGCTCTCCTCTACTTCTTCAACATGCCAAACGAAGCTTGCCACTACATACACATGTCAGAAAAGTGCTCGATATCTTGAATTGTGCTAATTTATCTTGGTCATAGATCCACGGCTGCGAAGAAGCGATTGACAAGGAGGACAAAAAGTCGACGACCCTCATTGTCTCCTCCTAATGCTATCCCGTGTCCCACCCTCCGGACTTCGCCTTCTCTTCCCATCGTTCCCCTGCCCCAACATGCCAATAGCCGGTAAGAGGGTCCAGGTCCAGAGCATTTTCTTGCTCAACCAGAGCATCTGCAAGCTCGCGTCTTGCTTGGGCGGTTGCCGTAAGGCGAGCAAAAACTTCCTGCCCCAAACTTTCGCAGGTCGGTTGGGCGGGTAGTTGGGGGGGTCCTGATGGACCAGCCGGATTGTCACCAGCAACGCTATGGGCGGGTGTATCTAGAGAGAGTCAATATATTATATTTCACAAGAAAGGAAATCATTACCAATTGGGCGGATGGTGGGCGGGCCTTCTCGATAGTTTTGGGCGGCTTGCTCATTTCTCCATCTATCTACAATTCATTAGTATGATTGAAAATACGTCTAAGGGTATTACCTACAGGAGAGATGTTAATGGCAAGCAGTGGCGACGCTATTGACTGACGGGGTAAGTGCTCTGAACACTACTCGTTGGGGCTCATTTATTTGTCTATAGAAGCACGGCTCTGGCATACCACTCTTTGAGGATAGCTTGATCCCTAATAAAAACAAAGTTCTGGAATACCACTCTTTGAGGCTCGCTGATCTAGCAACAGAGATACAGTTCTGGGATACCACCATTTGGGGTTCGCCTCATCAGCTACTACTGGTGGCTTTGGTCGCCCAATCTCATCGCTCTCAACGGGGACGCAGCTATATTAGTGGGTAGTGCAGTAGCTGTTGTGAATTTTGCTGCTGGAGGGAGGAATGGGAGGAATGGATGGCTTGGTATTGTGGCTATAGCTGGTGAGGCCGCTGAAGCTGCTGAGGTTGGGAAGGAATCTTTTCTTCACGACTGTACATCCTCGGCCCGCTGGTTGAATATTGTCCTTCACCCTCTGTTGTGTACTTCAGTCTAAATAACTGTTTGTAAATCGTCCGGTGGCTTTCCTACTGGATAAGGCAAATCATGCATCCATCTCAATGCTTTGGCCTGTTTGGGTACAACCCATATTAGGGATGTATAGAAGCAGGTAAACATGAGTTATAGAGTACTCAATTGTAGGGTCGAATCTAGCTAAAACTGATTCTGAACCTCCTGCATCGACCACTTATCTAATTCGCTGGCAGTTTCCATATTGGTAGTTTATTCTCTGAAGCCTTATCGGTGTCTTGACAAATTTGATAGGAATGTTTTCTTGTATAACTCTCAAAATTTTATAATCTATCGTTTCAATTCTGACCTATTGTCTTGGTATAATCAAATGGTACTGGGTATGAAGCATGCGGGCGATGAAAACTGTGTCGAGCGACACATGGAGTAAGCCCTTTGAGAAAGAGCAGCAGTATGGGAAATGAAACGCTCTGGGAGCTTTGTAAACGAACCTGCTCGTATATCTCTTTCAGAAAAGCCAATGCTATATGTGGCACTACTAGTTGTTATTGATAGATCTTGGCGAACCACCTCGTTGTGAAAAATGATCAGTGCCCGATGGGATGAAGAGTAATCCAGGATGATGGAGGTTTAGACAATTGAAATCTATTGTACTTCTGACATAATCACATAATCGTCCTTATAATTATTAAATTTCCCCTGAACCTTTTTGTATGCTAATCATCTTTTCATAAAGAGTATCGTAGTTTCTTTATTAGAGTAATAGAGTACAATAGACTAGTAATACTATTCTCTAAAAATCTAAAAGAAATTAATGAATCTAAAGAATCTAAAGGGGATACGATGACTCTCACCTGTATGTGGTGTATCCTACGAACCTTCGATTGTGCGATCGGAAAGTTAAGTAGAGTTAATTAGAGTCGAGTGGTGGTTGTATACTAATTGGAGGCTGTATTAAAAGTGAAAATATGTATAACTAATTATTAGAAAGTAATTATAAAGATACTTAGAATAAAGGATTACTAGCAAAATGGAGATAAAAAACCATTTAATAGTGGAAGGGAAATGAGAATAGGATTAATATTATCACGGTGCAAGGGATAGGTACTAGATTGGATATATGATATTCTACAAAGAGGTTGAAAGTGGTACGATGTAACTTTGCTATATAATGGCAAAGATGACTAAGCATTCACTATGCTAATATATTACGCTAGTGAACCTGTAACAATACCCCCCCCTTTAAGATTTGCTTATCCCAAGCAAGCTGAAAGAAAATATACTATACAAACCACATTTTCTTTTATTGTGATGAATATTTTCGTTCCCCAAATTTTTTTATAGCTTTTTGTTTAGGGATCAAAATTGCCTTAGCCTCTGGGTTTTCTAATATCTATTTCGGTAAATCTGATTTCTTTGGGTGTAAACAATAATAATAAGCTATAATCTTTTTATTATTCTTAAGATCTAAGACTGATTGCTAAGTTGGGGTGTAATATCTCTATTTGACTAAGTAGTGATATTTATTCTCATTATGATTATCTAAAATGTTTTCGAATATTTATTTCTGGATTGATTTCTCTTTGCCATTTTCTCTTTCAAGGACTCTATTCTGTGTAGTAACAATTTCTATTTTATTAATCTGGGATTATATCGAAAATTGTTTATTATCATATACTAATAAAAATAAAAAGTAATAAAAACAGGGAAGATTTATATATTCTCTAGTAATTGAATAAGACAAGATTATGAATAAACTTTAATAACTTTATAAGATCTAATCCATTTATCATTTAATTTTTTTGTTTTTCGAGAGATCTTTATATTCTTTATATTAATAAATACCTTCTATTCTATACAATATTGGGGTGAGTTGATTTGATATCGATTTGTATACTCCTCATATGTATCTATGGCTTGCCTAGCGAGTGCTTAAAGTTGATTCAGAATCCTTTTCATCTTATCCACTGTTTTATTACTCTTAAAGAATTCATGTTTTTGAGCTAATATCATTTCTGATAAGCAGGGTTTATTTAGCTTTATATCAATACTTAGGTTAAAAACTATAATTAATAAAGAATGGAGAATATTCTATAGTTTTCCAAAATCATATTGTTAGAGACAAACTCTGCCAATAATAATTATTCTATCCAATTATCTTAATAGAAGTTGATAAAAGTATATAGATATTGCTTAAGAACTGAATTGATATACTTTGTCTGCCCATCCATCTATAGATAGAAGACTGAAGAGTGTTTTAAAGTTATTACTAGTTTTCCAACAACTGCACCCAGAATCCTGATATAAACTATATACCTCGATCCGAGATAATATTGTCTGATATATTATATAGAGTATATATCTAATTAATAAATATATTAACCAGTTCTTCTATAATTAAGGTTTTTATATTAATAAAGTAACGCATTTTTATCAATCTATATATCACTATCAGGATGTACTTATATATCGAGTTGTAATATTTATTCTCTGGAAAAAATGTGATATAATTGATTGATATATCAGATTATGCTCGAAATGGAACTGGAAAAGGCTTAAAAATCCTAGTAAAGCTGATTTTGATGATTTAATACAAGTATACAATGTATATGCTTATACATATACACTAATCTTCTAGTGTATATTTAGCTATTAATAGATTCGGGAAATAATATCGATAATCTTGATACATTCAGAATAACCAACCGGATTGGAAGAGTGTATCCTATAGATAATTTGTATTTTCAGTTTATTATTAGGCGATATTCAAAGCTTATCACGATAATATATCCTATTATTGGATATTCTATAGTTCTGTATAGCAATTCTTATAGTCTTTTGGAATTCTGCTGATTATTTTCATATATACAGATCTCTAATTGCTGCTAACAATTATTATGCTATATCGGATTTTGTATAGATATTGTTAATCAATTTGTCGATAGGCTTGTTTTTCATAGATATTGTCAAATCTATAGGTGTTAGTGTTACTTTCTTTGTAATTCTTTATATAGATTAATATCGAATCTTTGTACTGGTAAGATTATTCTTTCTCTATTCTTTAGTCGCTGTTGTTAGGATTCAAAAGATCTGGTTTGTCTTTCTATTTGTGGCTCAAGATATCCAGATGAATGACTTTAGTATCTGGTTCTATATACGATACGGAAGTTATATTGAAATAAAAACTCGAATTATTTAACTTATTGTTAATTGAGGGTTTTTATTGTAATAAAATATTTTAAGTTCTTGTGATTTATAAAAACCTCGAATTTCTGTTACAAGTTTTGAAATTCAGATTGCCATTTTTCTATTAATTTGATTATTACTAAAAGCTTTTTATTATAGATTTTGTAATTATATTTTGCTACTGAGTGCTTCAATAAGAAGTAGGCTATTGATCACAAAATATTCTTATTATCATATTGAAAAAGTACTTTCCCAGAGGCTTAATTTGAAGTATTAATCTCTAAAACCATACATTTGTTATAATCAAAATACATAAGGACAAATACAATTGTAAAAAACCTATTTTAGTATTTCGAAAGTATTCTTATATATTTGATCTTATACCCAAAAGATATTCTTACATAACAAGTTGTTTAAAGGATAACAAATCTTCAAGAAGTTTTTTATAAATTGTCAATATTTATTTATTTTTTATTATTTATAGTGATTAACGTCTTGTGGGGGACCTCCCTAGGGGTATGAAAGACGTGGCTAGATCTAGAGTTACAAATACAGAAAGGCGCTGATGCGCACGCTAGTAAAACCTCATAGGGTAAACCCAGTTCCTTCTATATATCCTAAACAAGCCAGTGTAATGTTCGCAAATAGGGCCATTTGATCGGCCCTATATTCCTAGCGCTTCCTGCTACTCGTGGAGAGGAGCGCTCTGATTGTACAATTACTCCTGCCATAAAACCATATGGGCAGGAGCAGTGTGTACAGGTGTGTTGCTTCAAAGAAGCAGGTGTGTGTGTAATGGTGCTCCATGGGAGCGGAGGATTCGGCTATTGGGCCGCTCGAGAGGAGCAGCCGGAACGATGGTTCCGCTGAGTAGCGGAGTGGCGCATAGACGCAGTGGTAGCGGTTGGAGGGGGGATCAGTTCCCCCTCAGCATTCGATTGATCGTTTTTGCAGCTCATAATAGAAAAGCTTTATTAGGGTTAGCGGTAGATTGTTGGAGCTCAATGGAGCTGTGTCAAGAGGTCCACACTAAGGTAACCTATGAGGCAGCATATAGGGTGGATCCATGTGGATCAGATCGCTATAGCCTTAAGTCGTAGAACAGTGGGAGAGTGGCCCGATCACTCTACCACTGAACCAGCCGGGCTCCTTGCGGAGGACAATGGTCTTTTTGTCTATAAATTGTCAATAGAAATTGATAAATTCTAAAAAAACACTATAGATCCTTTACCAAAAAGGGTTGCTTTCAAGATATAATTGCTTTGACTTTATCGGTATCCATTTTGATACCATCTATAATAATAATTAAGTCTAAATACCATATAGATATTGTTTCGAATTCGCATTTACTAATATCAATCTGTAGACCTGTATCAGCAAGTTTTTGAATAATTGTTTGTACATACTCTCTGTGTTTCGTTTTATTATTAGAATAAATAAAAATATTATCAAGATATACTGTACAGTATTTATTGAGTTTATTGAAAAGTATATAATTAATATAATGCTGGAAAGATGCTGGTGTATTGTATAATCTAAAAGATATAACAAAAGATTCAAA